TTGACCTTGGATGCATGTAAACCTAATGTTGGAGACCTCCAAAACAAAATTTGGAACCTTTCAAATAGCAAAATTGGGGCACTTTAAAAGTTGTCAATTCCACAAACCACACTTTAGAATGTAACTGATGTTACTTTTTTAAATGTTTGTATAGGGACAGTACAAAAACATGAAAAACTAAAGATGCATTGCACATAGAGAGTATAGCACATGCTATACCGATGCACTTGAACTTGAAGACTTGAATTATACAGTACATAACCAGCCTATATTTCGCATAAGTGCTACTTTTTTGTTTTGTTTTTAGCAAAAATGGAGATGTGACAATATTTCTTATATTGTTTTTTATTTTTATTTTTTATCTAAGGGTGCCCACCTCAGTGGAAGAGCTTCAGAGACAAATGTTACTACTTCTCAGCTCCACCAGAAATTCTGAACTTTGATGAAACGAAGGAAAGTTGCAACAACAAGAGTTCATCTATGCTGATAATCAATGATGAAGATGAGCAGGTAAATCTTGGATACTATTCTTGAATATGTAATGTGTCTTAACAGCATTATCTAGGTCCTTCTCAAAAAATTTGCATATTGTGATAAAGTTCATTATTTTCCATAATGTAATGATAAAAATTAAACTTTCATATATTTTAGATTCATTGCACACCAACTGAAATATTTCAGGTCTTTTATTGTTTTAATACTGATGATTTTGGCATACAGCTCATGAAAACCCAAAATTCCTATCTCAAAAAATTAGCATATTTCATCCGACCAATAAAAGAAGTGTTTTTAATACAAAAAAAAAAGTCAACCTTCAAATAATTATGTTCAGTTATGCACTCAATAGTCAATACTTGGTCGGGAATCCTTTTGCAGAAATGACTGCTTCAATGCGGCGTGGCATGGAGGCAATCACCCTGTGGCACTGCTGAGGTGTTATGGAGGCCCAGGATGCTTCGATAGCGGCCTTAAGCTCATCTAGAGTGTTGGGTCTTGCGTCTCTCAACTTTCTCTTCACAATATCCCACAGATTCTCTATGGGGTTCAGGTCAGGAGAGTTGGCAGGCCAATTGAGCACAGTAATACCATGGTCAGTAAACCATTTACCAGTGGTTTTGGCACTGTGAGCAGGTGCCAGGTCGTGCTGAAAAATGAAATCTTCATCTCCATAAAGCTTTTCAGCAGATGGAAGCATGAAGGGCTCCAAAATCTCCTGATAGCTAGCTGCATTGACCCTGCCCTTGATAAAACACAGTGCACCAACACCAGCAGCTGACTTTGCACCCCAGACCATCACTGACTGTGGGTACTTGACACTGGACTTCAGGCATTTTGGCATTTCCTTCTCCCCAGTCTTCCTCCAGACTCTGGCACCTTGATTTCCGAATGACATGCAAAACTGAGCAACAGTCCAGTGCTGCTTCTCTGTAGACCAGGTCAGGCGCTTCTGCCGCTGTTTCTGGTTCAAAAGTGGCTTGACCTGGGGAATGCGGCACCTGTAGCCCATTTCCTGCACACGCCTGTGCACGGTGGCTCTGGATGTTTCTACTCCAGACTCAGTCCACTGCTTCTGCAGGTCCCCCAAGGTCTGGAATCGGTCCTTCTCCACAATCTTCCTCAGGGTCCGGTCACCTCTTCTCGTTGTGCAGCGTTTTTTGCCACACTTTTTCCTTCCCACAGACTTCCCACTGAGGTGCCTTGATACAGCACTCTGGGAACAGCCTATTTGTTCAGAAATTTCTTTCTGTCTTACCCTCTTGCTTGAGGGTGTCAATGATGGCCTTCTGGACAGCAGTCAGGTCGGGAGTCTTACCCATGATTGCGGTTTTGAGTAATGAAACAGGCTGGGAGTTTTTAAAAGCCTCAGGAATCTTTTGCAGGTGTTTACAGTTAATTAGTTGATTCAGATGATTAGGTTAATAGCTTGTTTAGAGACCCTTTTCATGATATGCTAATTTTTTGAGACAGGAATTTTGGGTTTTCATGAGCTGTATGCCAAAATCATCAGTATTAAAACAATAAAAGAACTGAAATATTTCAGTTGGTGTGCAATGAATCTAAAATATATGAAAGTTTAATTTTTATCATTACATTATGGAAAATAATGAACTTTATCACAAAATGCTAATTTTTTTAGAAGGACCTGTATATTACTCTTGAGTTTTAGACCTAATATCACTCTATAAATTTGTGTTACACAATGCACTCTTTATTATCTATCACAGCTATGGATAAAGAGGCAGATTTCTGGAAAGGGGTACTTTTGGCTGGGCCTCACAGACAGTGTAGAGGAAAACATCTGGAGATGGGTGGATGGGAGCCTGCCCAACTATAAGTGAGTACCGGTAGATAACAATGCATGAAATAAAATACCCATGAACTATTATTGTTACTCTAGTGTATATAAGTGTACATAATACATAATGTAATGTGTATCCAGTGAGGATCCACAGTAATATAGAGGGGAGATTACAGTGTTAGGAGGCATTCCCCATTAGTCATGTCTGATTTTAATTGAAAGGAAATGGAAACCTGGGCAGCCTGATAACTGGAGCCATGGTCATGAAGCGGGGGAAGACTGTGCAGGTTTAATACACGAGGGCAGTTGGAACGACTTTTTCTGCACAGATCGCATTGGTTTCATTTGTGAACGAACTAATGAATGTAAGTTCCGATTCTTGTTTCTTGCATATATTTCTAGCTTCTTTTTGTTGAAATGTGTTGTCTGCATGGTGTGCTTGGGTTCATATAGTTCACTGAGGAAATTTCTCCATTATTCACAGCCAAAGTTCCAGTTTTATAGCATCTGTTATGAAGGAACAGAGAGTATTGGATATGACAATCACAGAGACAGTTCAGAAGACTTCTGTCACAGTATCCTCTCACAAAGCACGGACGTTTCGCTTTGCCCAGTGAGCAGCATACAGGATGGACACAAAAGTAAAAGTCATTGACAATCACGAGCAAGTCAAGACTGCAAACTATTTTAAATACACTGATCACCAGTCATGTTAATGTTTAGATAAGTGAAAAAGCTGTAATGTATTGTAATCATATTGTAAATACCTGTTTTACCTGTGTCATTAACAAAGCTGATGCCACATTACTCCAGTGCAATACAATGAAGCTTTGTAGCTGCTTTAATTAAAATTAAGCTTTGAACAGCCAACCATAAAGCTGCAAATTAATATGTTGATATGTTGGAATGACTATAATCCAAAATTTGTTCACACCTGAGTTTTACTTCTTAAGTCTTGGACATCATTGATGTGATTTTGTGAATAAATCTTTAACGCTTCAAATATTTGATTATGCAGTAGCTATGTATAAAATAGTTGTGTATTTGAATACATGTACATGTATGTAATCATCATGAAAGCCCATGTTTTTATCTGAAATAAAATATAGTTGGTATTTTTCAAAAAGCTCTGTTGACATTTTTATTATCCTTATTATTTATGTCTGAATGTGGAATGTATCAATTTCATGTATTGCCTTGTCTGCCAGTGTGTGTGTGTGTGTGTGTATATATAGTTTTTATTGTGTTGGAGGTTTCTCCCTATTGGCCTGGTGGCCAATCTTCACTGATTTTACATTCCATCAGTTGAGCAGAACAAATAAGAGGACAGAATTTGGTGCGGTCATCTCGCTGGCTCATCTGATCAGGACAGCAAGTATTTGTGGTGTATCGATAGCTATGTTATCCAGGGTAAGGTCAGCATACCACCATATAGGACAAAACACATCCAACAGGAGTAACTGTCGACGCAAGAGGAAGCTGTCTGAAAGGGATATTCAGCTACTAACCCAGATTTTATCCAAAAAACATAAAACCACAGCTGCCCAACTCACTGCAGAATTAAATGCACACCTCGACTCTCCCGTTTCCACCAAAACTGTTTGTCAGCAGCTCCACAGAGTCAATATTAATGGTCGGGCTGCAATAGCCAAACCTTTGGTCACTTGTGCCAATGCCAAATGTCGGTTTCAATGGTGCCAACAGTACAAATCTTGGCCTGTGGACAATGTGGAACATGTATTGTTCTCTGATGAGTCCACCTTCGGTGTCCCACATCACGGCATTGTAGCTGTCATTCCCAAGATGAATTGATTCTGTATTGGCTGCAAAAGGAGACCCTACTACACCATACTATTGTGTTTCATTGCATCCCCTGTATATATAAATGCAGAAAGTTTTCTGTGAGGGTTGTGTTTAGGGTTAGGGAAACAGTTTGTAGAGTATGAAAATTATTAAGTCTATGGTAACGTAAAGTCCATTAGACACAATGTGTGTGTGTGTGTGTGTGTGTGTGTGTGTGTGTGTGTGTGTGTGTGTGTGTGTGTGTGTGTGTGTGTAAAATTCAGCCTTACTTTTTAAAATATATTAAAATAGAAAATATTTTAAATTGAAATAATATTTCACAATTTTACTGTTTTAATCAAATAAATGCAGCTGTTGTGAGCATAAGAGACTTTTTTCTATACTTTATAGTATAAATGTATATACTTAAATGTTACGTTTTATGATAAAACATATGGAAAATCCCCGTGTCTAAGGTATGTGTTTACTTAACACATTTTTACACCTTACTCCTTTAGTTACTGAGATAAAGCACTTTTTGTGACCACTTCCACGGTCTCCCCAATCACAAAAGTCCCAAATTATGTGCAAGTGTCTAATAAGACAAACAAACAAAAAATGTGTTTATATTATCTTGACTGCTGCTGAGTCAGAGAGTCTACCATGTGATTAAGTCATATGATTTATCAGCTGTATTTTCCATAACTTGTCCTTCACTAATTCAAAATTTACACGATCCGATTAACAAATTCCAGTGTCAAATAACATACATGTCGTACAGTAACGTTACGTCTAATCCCGCTCATATTTGTTTGGTTATGCCAAACTGTTTGTCTGTGTGTCGTATGTGCTGTGCACACTCCAGCGACACCTCGATTACCCAGTATGCACTGCGGCAGGGCTGCGAGACAGTAAGAGACTGAGGAGGGGATCCCATCAGCAACACTGACTGTAGTTTCTATTTTATTATGTTTATTAATTCACGTTTAACCAAGTGCTGACAGGGAGACGAACAAGAAGAGGATCGAGCTTAGATTCCGTTGTGTATATCTCGGCCATGCCTCTCTTCACGTCAAATCCCTTTGATCAAGATGTTGGTAAGTTTGTCATGCAGTTAGCAGGCGAGCTAACGGGACCTCATCTCTGTCTATTGTTGTTCATGGCAACCCACCGGCTTTCTGTTTCCTTTCGAGCTCACTTTAAATATTTGTGTGTTTTTTTCGCAATGGCATTCCGGTGATTAAATACTTCCCACCAGCGATTTTACCTTGACACTATCAACCTGGGCATTTAATGACAACAGTCTCACAGCTAGACATGTTATTAGCCGGATGGCTAGTCAAGTTTGTAGCTGTAGAAGCTATGATTGTTAGCGAGCAGATCTAATTTTCTCTGTTTGTATGGCGCTGACAATGCACAATTTAGTAAAAACATGTGCTTTGCAGTTTATTTAAGATGATTTGAGCCATCTCACTCTTAATGGTTTAATTCAGCCCCGACTGACTCGAGCTAACGGTTCATACGGTGACGCTGCAAATGCCCCCTTCTGCACCTCTTATATGTTATTATCCGTGTTTGTTTTTCCAAATGATGCTGTTCCTACTGCATGACTGTATCCTTTATAATAGGCTTTTAATAAGATTTCAGTGTGGTAATGTGTATAATTATTATCACTGTATTATGAGCCTGTTGATGAAAGTTTTGCTTGGATCACCGTTAAAGCCAGAATGTGTTGATGTAATATAAGCGCGTTTATATTTAGTTAATGCACTTGTAAGTTAGTTAATACAATCACATATGAGTTGATCAAACATTGCAGATAAAATAATGGTGATGTGGGAAATGTCATGTTTTGGCAGTGACTCGTGTTCTGGTGCTGCAGAATGATGTTTATTGTGAGTGTTTTGTAGTGGTAAGTTATCTCTGTACCTAATCGCAGATACTGACCATGGCAGGTTTATTTTTGTGTAAGTTAACCTCTGTCCTCTATTTGACACCTTGCTAGATTGATCAAGAGAATCTCACAACAAATGTAGGTCACTGGTTAACCTTCTGCTTTCTGTAAGTGTCATAAATTAACCTTTGTTTTATTAAGGGGAATGTTTTCCACCTGCTGGAATTGATTTACATGGGACTTTTTTTTATTTAAATTATGGCTGTTAATTATAAAATAAAATCCACATAAAAGTTGCTGTAAATAATTATTTGTAACAACATATCATAACAATTAACATGGAGATTTTTGAAAGCCGCATTCTTCAATGTCATGTAAATATATCCTACAGATATCTGACATATAAACTACCATTCAAAAGTTCAGTCCGTCAGTAAGATTTTTTTAGAAGAAAATTAATACTTTTATTCAGCAAGGATGTATTAAATTGAAACTGTAATAGGCATAAATAATTTTAAGAATGTTAAAAAGATTTGTTTTAAAATAAATGCTGTTGTTCTATTGAATTGGTCATTAAAGAATCCTTAATTATTATTATTTTTTTTACAAAAATAAGCAACAAATATTTTCAACATTGATAATAATAAGAAATGTTTCTTGAGCACCAGATAGCTAAGCATATTAGAATGATTTCTGAAGGATCATGTGACACACTGAAGTCTGGAGTAAAGTGCTGAAAATTCAGCAATAAATAAATATTTCAAATAAATGCAGCCTTTAGCATAACTAACTAAGTGACTTTCAAAAACATGAATTTTTTTTAAAGGTAGTGTATACTTACAAATAGACCTATAACATAATAATATAATTCATAAAAGGGTGGTATTTCCCTTTCGGTTTCAAAAACTGGTTAATTTCTGACTCTGGTTTCTGTAATGTGTAAAAGCCCGGATAAACTCACGCAAAGTTATTTTTCGTTCTTCGCTTAAAAAGAAGTTCGAAATACTCGACCAGTGGTATACTGTTAGCAAACATCCGACGCCACCCACACTGCTGAAAGCGGCCTTTAAATGAATATGTAAATATGTGCTGCGCGCTTTCCTCTCAATAACAGAATAAACAGAAAACTAATATGACAGCGATGATAAAACGTCAGTAAGCAGCATCTGATCATAGCGATGTGATGTAAACTGCTTGCTTTTAAACAGTATCAAACATGAAGAGAACACAGTGTCAGTGTCTTTCAATTTAGAATTACAACTTCACTTTTTACTATAAAGCAGCTTTCTAGCGTGTTCATGTTTTTGGATTGAACAGAAGAAATTAACTGGAGAAGATTTCCACGTCAAAGAAGGCGGAGCCTCCTCGCACACCTAACCATTACATATGTTTACTTTTCCGGAAAGTTCACTTTGGCTAGCTGTTTCGAATTCTCGAAACAAACCCAAAACAAACTTCATCTTGGCCTGATTTCGTTCGAAAGGACGTCATCAGTTCTTCAATTTTGCTTGAACAATCTGGGGCCTTTTACAGATAGATACACTTTTATTCAGTATGAATATGTATATACATGTTATGCTATTTAATCTGTGGAATCACAGGAAACCTTTGTCAATATGAGGGATAAATATTCGAGTAACTATTGTTTTGCAGAGAAAGCAACAAGTGAGATGAACACAGCTGAGGACTGGGGCCTCATTCTGGACATTTGTGACAAGATCGGACAGTCTCGCACTGGGTTAGTGAACAAGCGTTCAGAATGATTTTGAGTGTCTTTTCGATGAATGAGTGTTTAACAGGTTAAATGTTATTGCTTTTCTTCTGAAGGCCTAAAGAATGCCTGCGATCTATAATGAGGAGAGTGAATCACAAGGATCCCCATGTTGCCATGCAAGCCTTGACGGTAAGGCAAACAATTCTTAATGCTTTCCATCTCAAGTATGCAAACATCAGAGGCCATTAATGAACTGTTGAGAATGAAATAAGTGTTTTCTCTTCCATAGCTACTCGGTGCATGTGTGTCAAACTGTGGAAAAATATTCCATTTAGAGGTCTGCTCCAGGGAATTTGCTAGTGAAGTTAGCAACGTGCTAAATAAGGTACGCACTTTTGTTTGTAGAACTACTATGCTTCAATGTTTTGTCCAGCAGCATAAGACTGATGCTTTGGCCTTTCTTCTCAAGGGCCACCCAAAAGTGTGTGAGAAGCTGAAGGCTCTCATGGTGGAATGGGCTGAGGATTTCCGTAATGACCCCCAGCTCAGCCTCATATCGGCCATGATCAAGAACCTCAGAGAACAGGGCGTCATCTTCCCTGCGGTGGGCTCTCAGGTGAGCAGCTCTACCAGGATCTGCCAGTTCACTGGATTCTGTGAAATGCTGTAGTTACTTGTTATACAAGTATGTAGGGAATTGAATGTGTGTCAACAGGAGGGCAGTTTCACTTTAAAGGGCAAATCTGAATCTTCAGCACACAAAAAAGCATGCTTAACCTGATATTAAAGGAAATAGCGTTCAAAGGTTTGGGGTCAGTAACATTTTTATTTTTAAAGAAAATAATACCTTTATTCAGCAAAGATGTATTAAATGACCGCAAGTGACAGAAAATACATTTATAATGTTACAAAATATTTATATGTCAAATAAATGCTGTCCTTTTAATCTTTTGTTAATCAAAGAAACCTGGATTTTTTTGTTATAATTTTCCACAAAAATATTAATCAGAACAACTGTTTTCAACATTGACAATAATAAGAGATGTTTCTTGAGCAGCAAATCAGCATATTAGAATGATTTCATCCTGCTAAAAAAAAGTCAGTGCTTTCACTATTCCTTAATCCGTCCTTGTTTTAGCTTTTACTATTCTGAATCTGAACAATGTCTGAAACTTTGCATTAGTAGCACTTCTCCTGTTTATTGCCTGTGTTTAATGAATAAATGTCAATTTCGGAAGGATCATGTGACACTCTGAAGACTGGAGTGCTGGCTGCTAAAATAAATCTGCTTTGTCATCACAGGAATAAATTAGACTAAAATATAATCAAATAGAAAATCATTTTAATTTGTAATAATATTTCACAATATTACTGGTTAAACTTTTTCTTTTTTTTACACTGTAAATGCAGTCTTGGTGAGTATATTAGACTTCTTTCAAAAACATAAAAAAAATATCACTTTATATACTGTATATGCATTTTGTATTTTTTTTATTCAAAATTGTATTTTACTATTAATCTTATTTTGTTATTATTATTTATATATATATTTTTCTTTTCTTTTTCTTTTTTTTTCCATATATGTTGGGCTGCTCAAACAAACAGTGTTTATGCACTTCAGGTTTTAGATGTTTTTTTGGTTTGGAGTGTTTAATAATGAGATGTTTAACTATTTGTTCAGGCAGCAGAACAAGCTAAAGCCAGTCCTGCATTGGTAGCTAAAGACCCTGCAACATCAACAAACAAGAAGGAAGAAGAAGACCTTGCTAAAGGTGGGCACAAATCTGTAATGCTGAAGTCAGCAATGAATTTCCTTGAAGAAAGAGAGGTAATCTCTCTGTCTGTGTCTCTCTTTCTCAGCGATCGAACTGTCCCTGAAGGACCAGCGGCAGCAGCCTCAGGTCTCTCTGTCTGGCCTCTACCCGAGCACCAGCAGCCTCCTCACCTCTCACAAGACTGAGGGCAGAAAGGTCAGGGCCATCTATGACTTTGAGGCAGCCGAGGACAATGAGCTCACCTTTAAATCAGGCGAGATCATCACCATCATGGATGACAGGTGAGTCTGGTTCTGTTCATTGATGGTCACAATAGATGGTTCAGGCTGTGTTTGAAATCATTCCCTTTAGCCCTATTTGGATGGGACTAGTTTTTTATATATATATATATATATGGGAAAAATGTGCATTTCACAGACATAATTTTATGGATTTTAACCCTGTCCAAATCTGCCATTTCTGTGTTTTTTTCACACAACATCAGTAAAATTTCCAGGGCTAACAGTGATGTTACTCCTGTCCAAATCTACGCATCAAATCACAGATGTTGGGTGATTAGAAAACTAGTCCCATCCGATTAGGGCTTTTGTATTATTCACTGGTAATTTGTTCATTCAGCGCTCTGTAGAGATGGAGTGAATGATTCTAAACACAGCCAATGAGTTGTTGTTTCTAAATGAAACTTGGTGGGAGGGGGCTTAAGCATCTCTTCTCTATCACAGTGACCCTAACTGGTGGAAGGGCGAGACGTACCAGGGTGTTGGGCTTTTTCCGTCAAACTTTGTGACAGCAGACCTGACAGCAGAGCCTGAGATGAGTGAGTAAAGCTGTCACATCTACTCTTTTGCTGTTAAAAGTCGTTCATTCTAGAAAAATGGAGCGGTATGTTTGGACAGAAGACGAGACAGAGTTCTTTATTAAACTCATAAAAGACAAAAGAATTACGGGAATACTGGATTTTAAACAAAGAAATGCCACAATTTATCAAGACCTTGAAGCAGATAGGAGGGAGAAACACAGAAACACCTCATACGTGGCTGGTCCTTGCCATTAATGCTTGGTTAACACGCTTCTGTGTCCTTCGATTCAAAATAATTGCTAGTGCGGTGGCTGCGATATATACGTAAACTAGGGGTTGGAATCGCAGGGTACCTCATGATACGAATACGATACATGGCTCACGATACCGATAATATCACGATACAGCTATTCTGTGATAATCAAATATTGCTAGACTATCCTATCACGATAGACTATAGACTATACATCACGATATCTGTCTATCTACAGTATGCAAGCAAAATGCCTGTAAAAAGGTTAAGTGCAGGTCTTCTCTCTTTATTAAAGTCTAAACAACACAAAGTGTTTCAGTCTGTCTATAAAATTAAATTTAGCATTTTAAGTAAATTAAATGGACAAATCCATTTGATGAGTAATATTTTACTCACTGCTGTCCGCCATCCCATTAAAAACTAGGGATGTGCGGATCAACTAATTTGACAGTCGTTTAAACGGAAGTTTTGTAACCAACTAGACTAAAAGTAAAAAACCCTCTAAAGACTTGTGTATATATATATATATGATCCATTTGAGCACTTAATCTATTAATCAAACAGTCAAATCCCATAATAAACGCCGCACGTTTGGCGAATAAAACTTATTCTGATTCTGAAGTGCAGTTATTTTTTCTGGAGTTGAAGTGAATATGCGATGGGCATTCATTTGCTTGCTTCGGCGATCACAGCTAAGTACATGTACTGAATGTGGTTATGCATGGCTCTAGTGGAATTATCCCACTTTGAAATGGCACGGCTTACAAAAAACTTTTGCGTTTTAATTCTAATTCAAAATACTGCCGCACCTGTCCTCGTTTGTCTTTTGAGCGGTAATTTTTTGTGCTCTCTGTGACTGACACAAAGAAAACGCATCTGAGGTCAAATAAAAAGATTAGGCCCTACCTCTTTAGGTATTATTATTATTAGGTGTTTTATTTTAATGTGCTATTTAAAATGCTTTTTAATATAAATGTAACAAAGTTCAAGGCGCAGGGAGGAAGGGGGAACCAGTGAAAGGTAAACGGAAGTTTTAAAATAAATAAAACGAAAGTAAACGGCTGGTGCTTCATAGCCGACTGGCGTTCATTAATACAAGCTAATATCCTCTTGGGTTTTGGTTTTCTGTTTATTACATTACATTATTTCTCTGTCCTTAGTGAAAACAGAGAAGAAGACTGTGCAGTTCAGTGAAGACGTCCAGGTAGAGACGATTGAACCGGAACCAGAGCCGGTCTACATTGATGAGGTGAGGCTGCATATACACTCACCGGCCACTTTATTAGGTACACCTGTCCAACTGCTCGTTAACACTTAATTTCTAAGCAGCCAATCACATGGCGGCAACTCAGTGCATTTAGGCATGTAGACATGGTCAAGACAATCTCCTGCAGTTCAAACCGAGCATCAGTATGGGGAAGAAAGTTGATTTGAGTGACTTTGAACGTGGCATGATTGTTGGTGCCAGAAGGGCTGGTCTGAGTATTTCAGAAACTGCTAATCTACTGGGATTTTCACGCACAACCATCTCTAGGGTTTACAGAGAATGGTCCGAAAAAGAAAAAACATCCAGTGAGCGGCAGTTCTGTGGGCGGAAATGCCTTGTTGATGCCAGAGGTCAGAGGAGAATGGCCAGACTGGTTCGAGCTGATAGAAGGGCAACAGTGACTGAAATAACCACTCGTTACAACCGAGGTATGCAGCAAAGCTTTTGTGAAGCCACAACACGCACAACCTTGAGGCGGATGGGCTACAACAGCAGAAGACTCCACCGGGTACCACTCATCTCCACTACAAATAGGAAAAAGAGGCTACAATTTGCAAGAGCTCACCAAAATTGAACAGTTGAAGACTGGAAAAATGTTGCCTGGTCTGATGAGTCTCGATTTCTGTTGAGACATTCAGATGTTAGAGTCAGAATTTGGCGTAAACAGAATGAGAACATGGAACCATCATGCCTTGTTACCACTGTGCAGGCTGGTGGTGGTGGTGTAATGGTGTGGGGGATGTTTTCCTGGCACACTTTAGGCCCCTTAGTGCCAATTGGGCATCGTTTAAATGCCACGGCCTACCTGAGCATTGTTTCTGACCATGTCCATCCCTTTATGGCCACCATGTACCCATCCTCTGATGGCTACTTCCACCATGTCACAAAGCTCTAATCATTTCAAATTGGTTTCTTGAACATGACAATGAGTTCACTGTACTAAAATGGCCTCCACCGTCACCAGATCTCAACCCAATAGAGCATTTTTGGGATGTGGTGGAACGGGAGATTCGCATCATGGATGTGCAGCCGACAAATCTGCGGCAACTGTGTGATGCCATCATGTCAATATGGACCAAACTCCCTGAGGAATGCTTCCAGCACCTTGTTGAATCTATGCCACGAAGAATTGAGGCAGTTCTGAAGGCAAAAGGGGGTCCAACCCGTTACTAGCATGGGGTACCTAATAAAGTGGCCGGTGAGTGTATCTCACAGCATTTGGCTTCATACACACTCCTCACAACCATAGATGCATGGAATTGGACAGTGAAATGAATGATCCACTGTTCACTATTTCCTTTCTAAGATGTCAGATGCTCTCGTTGGAGAACTGTGTTCAGCTCTCATAGAAGTGTCATGCAGTCTGGTTTGAATGTCTTTGTAATGTTTTGCAGGAGAAAATGGACCAGCTGCTTCAGATGATCCAGAGTGCAGACCCAACAGACGACCAGTCGGACTCCTGTGAACTCCTGCAGTTGGAGGGTGAGTCTAAAACCATATCCGTATGCTCTGACAGAGTATGTTGGATCTGTGTTGTAGAGCACATTGATTCAAATTTGTTCCCCCTCCCACAATCAGCTGCTTGCAACCAGATGGGTCCTCTCATTGATCAGAAGTTAGAAGACATTGACAGGTATTCCCATCTAAAAACTAATTTAAATAAAAAAAACATCCATCCTTCCATATATCTAGCAAAGCGTATAAACAATCCATTGAAACCAATGTGATCTCACATGTAGGAAATGTGTCATGCTTTCAGAAAACACTCAGAGCTGTCCGACCTGAACATGAAGGTCATGGAAGCACTGTCTCTCTATGCTAAGCTAATGAATGAAGACCCAGTATACACTATGTATGCTAAACTACAGAGCCAGCAGTACTACATGCAGCAGACCCCAAACGGTTCCCAGCAGGTGAGAATCTGTCAAATTATTAAAGTGTGTATATTATAAGTTTGATATGGTTTAATGCTAAATATAATTTGTTATGATGGCTGTTGTTTGTTTTGGCAGTGGTATATTAGAGAAAGTCTCTGTTTTATTTTCAGGTGTACTCTGGCCAGCCCACTGGAGGGCAGTATGCAATGGGTAGCACAGCAGTACCGGGATACAATGTTCCAATGGAGCAGCTCTCTGCAATGAACCAAACAGGAACACCAATGGCTGGGCAGCCTCCCAGGTAATCACAATTTATTATAATTCACAAATATAAGAATTTTGAAGTTATTAGTATTTAAAAGAAATAAAAACATAAAAGGCTGTATCAATGCATTTATTATGAGGATGGTAATATATTATTATTGTTGTTGTCACAGGTTTTTATTTTATTATTGTACATTTAAAAACTGTATCAATGCATTTATAAAATTATTATTATTATTTTTGTTTTTTATTTATTAGGGGCCAAGCACTGAAGGTGGGTAGGCACCTATTGTAATCATTAGTGTTCTTCCGCTATTGAGTCTATGGCAGCTTATAGAACCGCGCACGGAAACGTTATGAAATTTGGACAGTCTGAACTGTTACCATAGCAGATGTGGAGTCTCTAACTCAATCCCTCTAGCGCCACCAGCTGTCCAAATATTCACTCATGTTTATCCTAATAACTTTTGAACAGTAAGGGCTAGAAACAAACAAAATCTCTATGATTCCTTGGCTTTCATTTTTTATTTGATTGCACCCTATAACGTCATTTTCTGTAATTAAATTATTTTTCATGCCGTGCTGGTATGACTTATCGTACCGCCTTTTGTGCTTGGCTTGTGCCAAAACGACGTTGTTGTGTAAATGAACTGCCAGAACGCATTAAAAGTTTTCTGTTTTCTGTCGAAAACGGTGTTGTGTAAGTGGCCCCCAAGTTACTAACTAATGATTTTTACATCGAAAATGCATCAATTAAAAACTTAATTACAAAAAAGCTAAACAATGACTTTATTCTAGAGCTGCCGTACAGCCAAAACAATCTTTGTTGCATTCACTTCCTATTATCACTGTAAAGCTGCTTTGAAACAATCTGTATTGTGACCTGTAGGTGACTTGACTTGGCCCCTTAATGGCTGCTTGCAGCTATATTGATGGTGCGTTCACGTGCTATGGTAATTATGGTAAATACCAAAAGCCGACATGGAAAATGCACATGAACACCCCCTCATGTGGTGTTTTCCACTGGGCAACTCGTAGAATATTTTGATGCACGAGTTGCCGAGATGATATTACCTTTGACCTTTTCAAAATGGCGGAGAGCAACGCAAGAGTTGTGAATGGTAAAAATATGTACTATTCATGATCTAGAAAATATACAGCATATATTATTTACGTTTGAGTTTTGATAAATCATTTTCTTGCTGTAGCAGATGACTTAAGCAATCTAAAATAGTTTTAGCTAAATAACAGGTCTGGATCTCCATGTTTTTACCACATTACGACAACAAAAGCACTTGAACGCAACACACTGGTAAATACCAGTTCACAAGTGGAAAATACCATATTTTCCATAGCACGTGAACGCACCATTAGGGGCCAAGCGCAGATGGACTTTTGTACCGTAAGGGCTAGAAAAAGTTTTTTTCCTCTGATTCCTTGGCAAAGACGATTTGATTGCACCATCTGACATCATTTTCCATCATGAAAATTTTTCTGCCATTTACAATTTTCAGAAAAAACTTTTTTGATCTCCTCCTAAGCTGTTGCTCCAATTTTCACGAAAGTTTAAGCAGATCATCTTCAGACCAAATGAATTCTGACAAAATGTTATGGAATTCAAGAAAAACACGTGAACAAATTTGACGAACAGCATGCCAATATGAACATGAGGCTTTATCTCAGTAACGCTGTAGCGTATTCTGACCAAACGTGGTTTCTGTTACAACCATGATCCTGAGATATGAAAAATGGTTCTTTTTGCTTATAACTTCTGAACAGTTTGGCAAAAAAACAAAAAAATCACAAAACTGGTCTCTTTAGATTCAGTGCAGCATGCCGATTCGAAACGATATCCAATTTTCCCATATAGGCCATTTTGGGTGTTGGCCATTTTGAATTTTGGCGTAAAATGTTATAATTTACTAACGCATTGGGGTATCGTTACGGAACTCAGTATGTGTCTTCGGCAGCATGCCCTGACGGTACTCAAAACGTTTTGGGGCAAAAATGATAAAGAAATGTCCAATAATGCTAATAACTTTTGATTAAATTAGCTTATTCTATAAAATGTTATATTCATAACTTTTTTTAAGTTACTTGCATAAAAACGTACAATGTTAACTAACTGCTAGTTGGTCTTACTAGTTCTTAAGACACTGTCTTAACATAATGGCTATGTTTATGCAACCGGCCCCTGGTCTTAATAGATTCCTTGGGTCATGCCAAGAACATAGATACCAATTTTGCCATAGTCGACTGAACTTCCTGTGCATTAAAAAAAGAAAATTTGTATTAATACATTGATGAAATTATTATTATTATATTTGTATAATTCTATAAAAGTCTGATTTGTTTTTGTCACATGTGTTTATCAGTGATGCCCATATGTACATGAGCCAGCCTCCAGTCTACAGCCCCTCTCCTGGCAGCCTGGCCCCAGCTGATGTTCAGTACTACCAGACTCAACCCGGCGCTCCGGCGAACATGACCCAGACCCATGGCTACAACGTGCCCTCCTCCCAAAACCACCCTGCTACTGCAGACAACCTACAGACCCCTTACCCTGAGAAAGCCCTCTTATAGGACCCCTAGAGACTCAACCTCTGTGGTTTCATACAGACACACACACTTACAGTTACAAACAAAGAACATTCAGCTCACACACAGATATCTCTTAGATTTTCTTCTCCTCCTCTTCTTTAAGACACACTACGTCATACAAACACTGATTCTGATCATGAGAGGATGTGCCGATTGTTGACTACTAACAGGTGGTGTTCTCACAGAGCGGTTCTGATTGATACTTTTTTTGGTCTCTTCTCTTTTATAAGAACATTTTGCTAAAGGTAATGAGAAACGCTAAGTTATACCATTTATTTGGCATTTTCATTATAGTTATAATTAACTGGACGTTTCTTACAGGAAAACACACAAAGAGAGCATGCTTGTGTTGTACCGGTACATACATTTCCGTACCAATGTCAGTCCCCGATAGTCTAGCATTCGTTACAACAGGTCCTAAAGGGGAGGTTACATCATTTTAATTTGTCATCACTATGTGTCTGTGTGTGTATGCAAGAGAGTGTCCAGGCCCACAGAAGTCATCTCGCATCTCTCCTCCAGAACCATATAGCGAAACACTGCCATTGTCTTGACAGTGGCCCATCACCCCAATGTCTTTAAGCTCACTTCTCAGTGTTAAAAAAGATCAAATGTTTTCTTTTTTTTTGTGTGTGTGTATTTTATTTATATTTTGATTGCCGGTTTGCTGTTTTAATTGACAGTACATTAATAGAAGGATGTAATATTCTGCCTGTGTGCAGATGTGTATATACAAGAGCTCACCTCTGTCTTTAGAGCGTAATGTTCAAAGCAGCTGCTGCTTCTGTAGAAAGGGCACATTGGAAGTTGAGGAGTAATGTTACTCCACATCATGCACTTTTAATTGACCTTTTTCATTACCCTCATTTCAGATGTGTCCATTTAAAACGTACATTTCCTAAGAACCCGAATGGCATTAACCCTGCACTCTAACCCTCCCCTTTTTTCCATAACTGTTTCAAAACAGATGATAGAAATACTCATGCAACTTGTCTTGGATTTTGCAAACTTATCCCCTGGGAATGAATTATCATGTGTAAATGCACTGTAGCGCGTTGAATGATCGATCTAACTTCGTAAAGTCCTGGCGAGGGCTGAGACTGACACTAAAGAGAACAGACTCGGTTCATTGGAATCTCCTACTCTAAACTAAGGCAGTATCCCACATCTGTCTCGATGTAGCTACAGTGAGTTACTGACGTTTCATTGAGAACATTCTGGGAAATTGGGACCACGGGCCAGTTCTAATGTAACACCTTAGCATTTGCACACGGAGATGAAATCCTTACGTCAACCTTATCCACAGGGAAAATGACTGTTTTTGGTGTATCAGTTCTATGTACCCAGTTGTTTATGTACTATTTTAATCATCTTAATTATTAGTATTCACAATAAAACTAGGCCAAATGTACAGCACATGTTGTGTCTCATGTTTATGCGTCCACTAGTGTGTTCTTTGCTCAGGCAGACAGGTGGTTTATTAGTGGCTTATTGGTTAAGGGGCTAGTTTAGGACAGCAAGACATTCCTTGCAATTAGTGTTCACGTGAAAAATATAATAATTTACATTTGATGCTGTAAGTGTGTTAATTTAACAAGACAAAACAGATTCTGTGACTATGATTCACTGATAAGTTACGAAAACATGCTTTAGATGTTAGTTTTCATCGTTTAATGATACATTATTAGAAATGGATATATTTGTAGACAAAGGTCTCAGCTAAGGAATAATGAAAGGGAACAGGTTTTTAGGGAAAACAAATGAACATTTATCCACTTAATATAGCTTAATTTGTGTCAACTCTGTCAGACACACTAAAAAGCATGCTATTGTAATTTGATCCATCCAACAGCAGTGTAAAGTCTTCCGTTGTATAATAATGGTGTTTGGTAAAGGAGCTAAGTGATTAAAAAACATTCTCTACACTTATTTTCTGTTTTCACACTATGATGAAACAATCCAGTTCCTAACTTCCTTAATTCTCTACACTCCTTTGTAATATTAAGCATATATAACCAATGTTTGGTAACACTTTATTTTACAGTGTCCTTGCTACATATGTTACATGTACTTACCATAGTAATAACAGTAAATTATGCATAATTATATGCAACTAACCCTCAACCAAATCCTAATCCTACCCTATCACTATAGTAAGTACATGTAGTTCATTAATATTACTCAGTACTTACATATATAATTACACTGTAACAATGACACCTTAAAATAAAGTGTAACCCAATGTTCTTAGGTAAATCGGACATAAAATAAAAATGTAGTTCAGTTGGTTTAATGTTTTAACACGATAAATTGAAGAAAAAAATTAAACACTTTGTTTGGCAGTTTTCCTGTAGCTCAAACAGTAGAGCGTTGGCGCTTGCAACGCCAAGGTCATGGGGTCAACTCCCAGGGAAAGCAAGAACTGATAAGAATGTAAATGTGTACCTTGAAATGCAATGTAAGTAACTAATGGTGAGGCATGTATTTTCCAAGTATATAGCATGTATTTCAAATAATACTAAATAGATTATTAAAAAATATAAGCAATGAATGCCCTTTATTCAGATGTAACTTTTACGTATTTTTATTTTGATGAATTTATTTATTTTTAATATAAAGAGGCTTTTGTGTGTATGACATGTTTTGTTCCTTGTCTCAAGAATTAGTGTATTATTATTAGGGTCAGATTTAAAAAGAAAAATAAATTAGTACTTTTATTCAGCAAGGATGCATTAAATTGATTAAAAATGCAGTTCTTTTGAACTTTCTATTCATCAGAGAATACGAAAAAACTATCATGGTTTCCACAAAAATATTAAGCAGCACAACTGTTTTCAGTATTGATAATAATAAGAAATGTTTCTTGAGCAGAACATTAGCATATTAGAATGATTTCTGAAGGATCATGTGACATGATGAATTGAGTAATGATGCTGAAAATTCAACTTTGCCATCACAGGAATAAATTAATATCTAGTGTACTTACTATCTAGTGTACGCCCTACCTAGTGTACTTACTATTTAGTGCACTCCCTATCTAGTGTTCTCCCTACCTAATCTACTTACTATCTAGTGTACTTCACCTAGTGTACTTACTATCTAGTGTACTCCTATCTAGTGTACTTACTATCTAGTGTACTCCTAGCTAGTGTACTCCCTACCTAGTGTACTCCCTACCTAGTGTACTTACTATATAGTGTACTCCCTACCTAGTGTACTTACTATCTAGTGTACTTACAATCTATTGTAATCCCTACCTAGTGTACTTACTATCTAGTGTACTCCCTACCTAGTGTACTTACTATTAAGTGTACTCCCTACCTAGTGTACTTACTATCTAGTGTTCTCCCTACCTAATCTACTTATTATCTAGTGTACTTCACCTAGTGTACATCACCTAGTGTACTTCACCTAGTGTACTTACTATCTAGTGTACTTACTATCTAGTGTACTCCCTACCTAGTGTACTTACTATCTAGTGTACTTACTATCTAGTGTCCTCCCTACCTAGTGTACTTACTATCTAGTGTACTCCCTACCTAGTGTACTTACTATCTAGTGTACTTACTATCTAGTGTACTCCCTACCTAGTGTACTTACTATCTAGTGTACTCCCTACCTAGTGTACTTACTATCTAGTTTACTCCTAACTAGTGTACTTACTATCTAGTGTACTCCTACCTAGTGTACTCCCTACCTAGTGTACTTACTATCTAGTGTACTTACTAGTGTACTCCCTACCTAGAATAATTACTATCTAGTGTACTCCCTACCTAGTACACTATCTAGTGCACTCCCTATCTAGTGTACTCCCTACCTAGTGCACTTACTATCTAGTGCACTTACTATCTAGTGTACACTAGAATCAATACTTTTTCAAAAAGAATCGCTACTTTTTAAAAAATGAATCGCTACTTTTTCATAGTTCTATACATAGTTTTTCATAGTTCTAAACATAGTTTTTAAACAATGTATAGTTACATTGCAATTAATATAATTACATTGTAATAAACGTATAATTACATTGTAATAAACGTATAATTACATTGTATTAAACGTATAATTACATTCTATTAAACGTATAATTACATTCTATTAAACGTATAATTACATTCTATTAAACGTATAATTACATTCTATTAAACGTATAATTACATTCTATTAAACGTATAATTACATTCTATTAAACGTATAATTACATTCTATTAAACGTATAATTACATTCTATTAAACGTATAATTACATTCTATTAAACGTATAATTACATTCTATTAAACGTATAATTACATTCTATTAAACGTATAATTACATTCTATTAAACGTATAATTACATTCTATTAAACGTATAATTACATTCTATTAAACGTATAATTACATTCTATTAAACGTATAATTACATTCTATTAAACGTATAATTACATTGTATTAAACGTATAATTACATTGTATTAAACGTATAATTACATTGTATTAAACGTATAATTACATTGTATTAAACGTATAATTACATTGTATTAAACGTATAATTACATTGTATTAAACGTATAATTACATTGTATTAAACGTATAATTACATTGTATTAAACGTATAATTACATTGTATTAAATGTATAATTACATTGTATTAAATGTATAATTACATTGTATTAAATGTATAATTACATTGTATTAAATGTATAATTACATTGTAATAAATGTATAACAACTATAATATTTTACACTACTTTTTTCAAAAAGAATCACTACTTTTTTTTAAAAAGAATCGCAACTTTTTTCAAAAAGAATAATGTAACAAAATAATAATGTAACAAATGTATAATAATAATAATGTAATAAATGTATAATAACTGTAATAAATGTAATTACATTATTTTACACTATTTTCAAAAAGAATCGCTACTTTTTTCAAAAAGAATAATGTAATAAAATAATAATGTAACAAATGTATAATAATAATGAAACAAATGTATAATAACACTGTAATAAATGTATAATTACATTGTAATGTGTAATAAATGTATATTACATTGTAATAAACGTATAATTACATTGTAGTAAATGTATAATTACATTGCAATAAATGTATAATAACACTGTAATAAATGTATATTACATTGTAATAAACGTATAATTACATTGTAATAAATGTATAATAACAACCTTGAAAAGAATCACTACATTTCTCGAAAAGAATCGCTACTTTTTTACTTCAGAAGTAAACAGTGTAGCTGACTTAAAGGGATACTTCACCTCTGGAAAGATGAATGTGTATTTAAAATGGGTCATTTATGTAGAAGAAATGTGAAATTAGTTTTGAATTTGGAGCTTTCTAGACTGAGAAAAGCCAGAAAATGTATTTTTGGCTTATGTGGATGAAAGACAACAACTCCCAGAATGCACTTGCTTCACTGCCCTAAAGTGGCCACGCCTACCGGTAACAGAGCGCAGTAGTTAAACAACAAGTCTAGGCTACTAGCGAGTCTCCGTGATGAGTCTGCCCGAAAATGTGTTTCGAGATCGCCCAAAATGTCCGGGATTCGGCTTTTGCCTTCTACAGTCACCATTAATTATGTTTACTGTGGCGAGCAGGACGAGGCTAGGGCCGCGGGAGAACGGCGCGAGGCCGGTGGCGTGATTACTGATGAGCGACACCTGTGAGACGCACCGGTCTCGTATCTCTCACGGAGGAGCGGGAATCGTCTTAGCAATGTTAAAGCGCACATCAACCGATCACTTGTTTGGCGTTCATGTAAACACTACATTCAGATTCACCAATCGGAATGAATTCAGTTAGATTGAAACAAAAGGTGTGCATGTAAACAATGAATGGCGACTGCAGAAAGCAAAAGCTGAATCCAGGACATTTTGTACGATCTCAACGGCCGGACATGTCCAGGAAAAAGAGGATGGTAATAGAGGGCTGCATTGGGATTGAGTCCCGCCGGGTCCCGCGGGACCCAACGCAAATCTCGCGGGAGCGGGCGGTTTGAACTTTGCTGCGGGCGGGAATGGGCGGACAAATAAAACCCCTGCGGGATTGGGAGGTAGCCTAACGACATGATGGAGATGTCAATGATGTGGAAAAGAACCTTAAACGAGGTATTTACAGTACAAAACCTGAGCAAGGCAAGTCTGACATTTACTATTCATCTTCCTGATCAGTGCGTCAGAATACATGCAGGCCAGGGAAACGAAACCAACAACCCCATGAATCTCTTTAACAATAGCAATACAAATACGCGTTTTTTTTTCCTGCGGGACGGGAGAAGACACAAAGTCAGTGCATCTCTATTATTGTGCGGGAATAAATTCTCCGAGTTTTGCGGGTGCGGGCGGGAGTGGACATACATATTGCGGGAGCGGGCGGGAGTGTAACACATACGTTGCGGGAGCGGGCGGTAATGGTCAAAAATTCGGCGGGCGCGGGCGGGAGCGGGATGAAGAAAACAGACCCGCGCAGGACTCTAGATGGTAACCCCTACTACTCAGCTTTCTCCACAGAACAAGAGCCTGCTAGTTTAGCTTCCAAAAAAAGATGGCTGACACTATGTGTACATTCTGTGAGTGAGATCCCACCCTCTATGGGCGGGTTGAGAACATGCGGGACAGCCCTTACTACTGACTGTAGTCTTGAGCCTCTGGCCAAAAAATCCTCCGATGACGCAAAATTACGATTTTTGTGTCATCGGGGGATTTTTTCCAGACAAAAAAATACTTTAATCTCTCGTCTCAGGGGGATATGAGGGTGGAAAGCACGATAATTTGAAAATACTACAGGTTTCCTACTAATACAAAGCTTAATGCTAAATCCTGAAGTATCCCTTTAATGTTTGGCTGACAGAATGTTTATTTTTAAACCACAACCCTCTCTAATGTCAGAATGTTTATTTTTAAACCACAACTTCAATGTGTGCTTCTTTTACAGATATATTTATCGATATCTTTTGCATTTCTAATCCAAACAACGTCAAACTCTGCACTGCACTTACTCGTGCCCGTAGCAAAACACCTGCCAAGTTTGAAATCTATCGGACTAACAGTTCGAGAGATATTCGATTAACAGACAGACAGACAGACAGACGGACACACGTTCCTGTAATTTATAGATAGATGTATTTAGCCTTGTTGAGAGTTTCAAAAACATTTTTTTTAATCATTTTGAGTATTTCTGACAATTATTGTCAAGTTTTTTTTATATATTTCTGAAGCATTTCTGAAATTTTGTTTTAGGAGAGTTTAGATATTTTTACTGAAAAAATAAAGATACTGTTATGAGAGTTTTTTTTTTTTTTACTGTGCAGACTACAAGTCTCCGCAAAATACTACTTGATAAGTAAAATACAATATACGTCACTTTCATCCTCACTTTTGTTTTGCTTTTACTGTTTTTGTGCTAAGAACACCATTAATACGTTTTTGATATGGGGACATTGCAGCTCGTCATTATGACTGTAATGTTTCAGTTTGCTACTGGAATGACACATTTTTCTTCCCATAACTCCATAAAAAGAAAATGACTGCTTCATTACTATGACAATAAAAGAGCACCTGTAAGAATGCAGTGTAAGCAGTGCCAGTGTACAGAGTCCAGAGCGTTCAGTCATTCAGTGTTGTGGGAGATGCACTGGATGCATTCAGTGACGGCTCAATCGTGGGGATTTACTGAAGACTCATACTGTCAAGATGCCCTCATGGAAGACTGTCAAACTCATCCTTTATGAGCTTCTGCAGTTCACATGTCTCTGTATTCCTGTGTTTGTAGTTATGGAGCGCTTTGCTTCAGTCATTCGACTTGTGAAGTCTAGTGACACTGCCTACTGGCTGGTGGTGGCCGCCTCTGTGGCCTATATGGCGTCTGCAACCCTGTTTGTGTGGGTTCCTTTGAAATACTTCATCCTTAAGACTCAACGGTTCTCAGAAGTGACTAACTGGTGAGTACTAACCGCTGCTTCTCCTTTTTTTTATACGAGGCTAGTTGATCCATGAACTTTTATTATTCAACACTAACTTTTTAGTTTGAATTATCATATAAGTGAAAATGCACACATTATGTCCCCAGACTGATCGTTCCTTTTCAGAATCACCGTTTTTTTTTTTTTTTTTGCCTTCACTGTAAATGGTTCTGCGGTGTAATAACAAATTGTTTTAATATATTCAGTAAAAACTAATGATAGACTTGTGTGGAAAAATATTGAAAAAGTTTAGATGAATTATAGCATGTCACACTACATGTCTAAAAATTTCATGTCAACTGACTATAAACCAAGCTGCATTATAAGTAAGGGCTTATTTTCCCCCAGCCCCCCTCCCCCTTCTCCCTTTTTAATATGGACAATTTTAAATCATGCTCTTCATTTCTAACCTGTCTCTTGGTTTGTGATGCTAATTGTGTTTATTAATGAAAACAATTTTATTTCTTCTGCAGGAGACCTGTTACACTTGCATATGTGATTCTCAGCACTTTACCATGCTTTGCTATTATCATAGCCAACTCAAAGGTAATGCATTATTCAGTCTCATTAAGAAATGGCTATATGAATATGCGGTAACACTTTATTTGAATGTATTTCCTGTATTAATAACGGTTAGGCTAATTATGCATAATTACAAGAAACTAACACTAAACCAAACCCTAAACCTAAAGTAAGTACATGTTGTTAATTACAATTACTTATTTTGTAATTACAATGTAACAATTGTATATTAAAATAAATATTAGAATCCATATTATCAATTACATTAAAAATAAAGGTTCTTCAGGTACACTGAGGGTTTGGAGATTAAAATGTTTCATGTTATATGTTATTAGTTCTTAATAACGTAGGTGGATTTAAACATCACTACATTGGTTTCCGGAGGACTTGAGAATAATTTGGAACTTTAAAAGGTTCTTAATGGAATCAGGCTGTAAAACTTTTATTTTTAAAAGTCTGTATCCATTTGAACGTATACAACAACATATGCTGTTTCTTTGTTCTGAAAGTAAGAAGTAGTAAATACTGTATGTGAGACATTATGGCAGTTTCGGTATGTAATAAAAACCGTAGGGCTCATCAACACGAACTTTCATAAACAGATCCTCTCTGAGGTACTCAGTAACTCACTGTAGAACAGTAGATTTACTATTAACCCAACGATGGGGTATTATAGACTGTGGAATGTGAATGGAGCTGTATTACAGCCAACTTAAGTCTCTGGTTAAAATCACGAGGCCCATATAGTCTTCAGATGTGCATTACCTGTCAATGCATTACCAGTTTCTAAAGGGGTTCTCACGGTTTTTTACTGTTTTTTGTTGATACATCTAAAACTGATTTTGATACATCATAAACTCATTGTCAGTCTTCCATCTCTATTTTCTCTTGGGATGATAAAAGGCTTTTTGCTCCTAACACTTGCTTCTCTCAGCAACCTTCTGGCCTATTTATGGTTGTGCAGGTTCAGGTTGACGCTGGCATTAAGTATGACCGCTTCACTGAGCTCCCTGTCTCTCTGGTCTTGTTCTCCCTCATTTGTGTGGACATAGTGGAGAGAATTCGCCCTCTTCGTCTGACAGGACAGGGTAAGAGATAATAGCCCATAAATACGGCCAATTAAATGATCTGTCTAAGTTGTGCTCTACCTTTATGCTCTTTTTAAAAAGCAAGCGGATTAGAGCTGGATTTTGAGATGCCGGGTCCGGTTCTGACTCACTTGGAGCAGGTGACATCAGTGTCCGCACAGCTGCAGGCTAACGGACGGGACGGCGACACGTCTCCGAGGTCGGCGGTCAGGAACGGGTCACTCTCAGGCCGTTGGGGAGATGCAGATGCACACGGCCCATCTCACACCAGCAGCACGGCATATCTCTACTCCTCTCATTCTCACTCAGGTCCCTTTCGCTTTGTCTGGATACGAGACCCTCGGCATGACCTCTTTGTGGCCACCTTCATGTTCTGGTTTGACACCGTGGAAATGGTGAGGGTGGCCGGCACTGATTCGGTGTATTACTCAGCGTGGGTGTTTCCCATTTATATACTGGCTTATCTGTCCATCCTGCGTGCTGTTATAACTCCAGACAGTCCTCTGCTGGCTTCATCCAGTGTCCTTTCCCAAGATTTGCCCTTTCTGGTGGTGCGCATATGCCTGCTGGGGGTCTTCGGTTACGTGACCCCCGTGCTGTACATACTAAAGAACATTCTTGCTGTGGTATCTTTTGTGTACTTTGTCTTTATGACTAAACTAAAGCTCCTGAACAAAAGAAGCATGTTCTGAGGACATTGTGGTAAAAATAGCAGAAGAAATCCATACAGATTTACCGCAACTTGTAAATATTTTTCAGTCTCCGAATGAAAGTGTATATATTTCATGATTGTTATTTTTTGTTTTACAGATGACCAAAACTATAGACAAACATCTGAAGGTTTAGTCATTCTATTAATATTTATTGAAAAATATATTGGTAAATGCTGTTTGTGTTAATATTTTGAGTACATAACATGTTTTAAAGCTTTCTGTTTTGGTGTTTTTCTATGCATCACAATTCATGCATTTTTTTAAATGAATGTACATTTTAATTCATTATGCCAAATGTCATTCAAATTTGTAGAATATAAAATTTTATTAAGAACATCTGATATTACAAAAGTTTATTGTTGGATTTCATTTCAGCATATGAGTGTAGCTACGGTTCATACTGACTTAAGATAATGCAAGCTCATCTTATGCCAGAACATGTTTTGATCATGTAAAAACTGATTGCTTTTCATAAAAAGCCTGAACAGTAATACTTTGATTCTACTTTGATGCATATCATAAGATGCAGAGAAGCTTTTGAATTTCCATGATGTTCAGAAATCCCCTTGCATCTCATAAATGAATCCTCATATTTCTGCAAACCATAATTCCATCCATCATTTCTTTTTAATTTCATGATACATGAGCACACTTGATTTGTTATTGTTGTTGTCAGATACTAAGTAATGCGTTTGTAACCTTGAGAGCTATGACAGTGTGAGAGAGTTCATACAGTTCTATATTCTTTTTACCAGATCTTAACTCTTATACTATTTATTAAATACATTTTAATATACACTCACGTAAAGGATTATTAGTAACACCATACTAATACTGTGTTTGACCCCCTTTCGCCTTCAGAACTGCCTTAATTCTACGTGGCATTGATTCAACAAGGTGCTGAAAGCATTATTTAGAAATGTTGGCCCATATTGATAGGATAGCATCTTGCAGTTGATGGAGATTTGTGGGATGCACATCCAGGGCACGAAGCTCCCGTTCCACCACATCCCAAAGATGCTCTATTGGGTTGAGATCTGGTGACTGTGGGGGCCATTTTAGTCCAGTGAACTCATTGTCAATTTGAAATGATTCGAGCTTTGTGACATGGTGCATTATCCTGCTGGAAGTAGCCATCAGAGGATGGGTACATAGTGGCCATAAAGGGATGGACATGGTCAGAAACAATGCTCAGGTAGGCCGTGGCATTTAAACAATGCCCAATTGGCACTAAGGGGCCTAAAGTGTGCCAAGAAAACATCCCATTCCACACCATTACACCACCACCACCAGCCTGCACAGTGGTAACAAGGCTTGATGGATCCATGTTCTCATTCTGTTTACGCCAAATTCTGAAATCGAGACTCATCAGACCAGGCAACATTTTTCCAGTCTTCAACTGTCCAATTTTGGTGAGCTCTTGCAAATTGTAGCCTCTTTTTCCTATTTGTAGTGGAGATGAGTGGTACCCGGTGGGGTCTTCTGCTGTTGTAGCCCATCCGCCTCAAGGTTGTGCGTGTTGTGGCTTCACAAATGCTTTGCTGCATACCTCGGTTGTAACGAGTGGTTATTTCAGTCAAAGTTGCTCTTCTATCAGCTTGAATCAGTCGGCCCATTCTCCTCTGACCTCTAGCATCAACAAGGCATTTTCGCCCACAGGACTGCCGCATACTGAATGTTTTTCCCTTTTCACACCATTCTTTGTAAACCCTAGAAATGGTTGTGCATGAATATCCCAGTAACTGAGCAGATTGTGAAATACTCAGACCGGCCCGTCTGGCACCAACAACCATGCCACGCTCAAAATGGCTTAAATCACCTTTCTTTCCCATTCTGACATTCAGTTTGGAGTTCAGGAGATTGTCTTGACCAGGACCACACCCCTAAATGCATTGAAGCAACTGCCATGTGATTGGTTGATTAGATAATTGCATTGATGAGAAATTGAACAGGTGTTCCTAATAATCCTTTAGGTGAGTGTATATATTTATATTAATTTTATTTATGAATTTTAATCATAAGGATAATATGCACGTTAGTCAATTTTACAGAATTTAAAAAAAAAAATAATAATAATTTTTTCAATAATTTTCAAATGATCAAATGATAATATTATTGATATAATTAAAATACATTTATAAAAATAACATAAGCCAATTCTAAGGTAATTATTTCCAAACTTTTTAGTTAAAAAAATTCAACCACAAAAAAATTACTGTAAAGAACATGCATTGTCTTTAGAAGATTTTCACATAAAATTATATATTAAATTATACTTTTTACTTCTAGAAGTACATGTTTCGTCTGTCATAGATTTTCACAGAGAATTATATCAATACTTTTTACTTCTAAAATCAGTTTTATAAAAAAATCATTTTGCAATACAACTACATGAAATGTCCTGTCAAATGTATTTTTTTCACTGCACATTGTGAAAGTAACTTACCAATTTAAAGGTTCTCTAAGCGATCCTGGGTGACGTCACTTCTTGTTGACGTTCGAACTATTGTCAAACAAAACGGAGGCTAGCTAGACCCTCCCTCCTCCTCATCCGCACACTAACCCCCCAAACCACACCCCCAAACCCTTCTTGTCGGTCATTGGCTGGAACAGTTTGTTATGTTTTGGGGAGCGGGTCGCTGCAGTTTGTTTTTGGTGCTGTTTGTGAAGCATGGGCTGTCTACAGAGATCGCGTTTCTTTACAGTGTGTTCAGGGGACAGGCAGCCAGCGGATAGTGAGGAGATGTTTGCTGTATGTGACAAAAAATGTTTTGACCTAAAAAACACATGACATCGCTTAGAGCACCTTTAACTTACAGCTATCCATGACTTTTCTATTAAATGTTCAAACACACACACACACACACACATATATATATACACACATTCAAAAAATTGTTTGGATGTTTAATAAAATATATATTACTATATATATATATATATATATATAGTCAAATACATTTAATTAAACATCCAAACATTTTTGAAGTCTATGACCCCCAGAATATTGCTTTATGTAAGTATTTCTGAAGAAATCTCCAAATATAATATTCTTCTTTCTCTGTCTGATGCTTATTTCAAGCCTATTTTCTCAGCTTGGCATTATTCCCATCTAACCAATGAGGTGTAATTTATTTGCTCGAAAGCAGATGATAAAAACCTATCTCTGAGTGTGACTGGATTGTTCGCCTCAGTGTGCCTCCCACAGATTTCAGAATAGAGCTTTATTTTAATTCATTCCATTTAAACTTGACAGTCAGCATGTGAACAGATGCTGCAAATGATCTTGCATGAGCTCTCGCTCGCCTCCTCAGCAGGGGACAACAGAGGGAGAGGAGACAGCAAGGACAGACACTCAGATACAGTATATAGATAAAGAAGAGGAGTGGATTGACTGATAAAGCCCATGATGCAGACAACGGGCTGAGATTCAATGAGAGGAAGAAGGGAGCGCATTTGAATTCAGTCTGTGTTTCTCCTGCGTTACGAGCATCACTAAGTGCTCAAGCACGCAGTGTAGCAACCGGGAGCGAGGGAAAATGGCAAACTACAGCCACAGAAAGGACACAAGGGGGTAACGCAGGTAATCAGGAGCGCCCCAGACGACACTGAGGGAAAAAGAGACAGAAAGAAGGCGAGAGCCGGGAGCGGTCGTGGAGGTAGAGAAGCAGCAGAAACCAGGGAGGAGAGACAGCAGACGGTGGACTCCAGCCTCCTCTGCCTGTGCGGACTGGAGACAAGGTAACCCAGACGTGGCTCGCTTCTGGATTCTGATTGGCCGGAGTGGGCGGGGAAAAGCTGACGCAGAGAAAGTCAGGCAGGAAAATGACATTTACACCGTGTATCAATTTTAAACTCTGAGCCTGTGTCTGTCTTTGAAACAAGGGGTGCGGTGGGAGGGGTGGGGTGGGGTTGGGTTTGTCTGGGGAGGGTATAAATAAATAAGGCGAGAAACTCAACGGGAGAAGAGCGGATCAAACAAAACTGCACACACCTGGAGCCAGCAGACTGTGAGCCTGTTGGTCTCAAGCATCAGGAGGATGTGAATCACTCACTTTGACTGACTGCATCGCATTCATCACTGTTTGTGGAGGAATGTTCGCTTTTTACACGCTCTGTAAACCAATGGGCTGGAGTAGAGGCTGCGTGGAACGGAGACAGTTACCTGCTGCTGTGTCTCTCCTCAGACTGATGTGATGGCTGTCCCTTACAGAAAGGGAACCAGAGGCTGTGTCTCACAGAAAGAGTGATTTGGCTGCACCATCATCAGGACCCCACTGGATGTTCTCTTGATGTATTGCTGTGGTCTGGGACACTGGCGGAGAGAACAGTCCACCTATGTGAGTAACTGCAGCATGCTCAATGTGATCTTCCACTGTCAGGATGCTCTTGGTTGAAAATACATGAAAATATAACCTGTAAACATACAATTTTGAGTAAATATCACAAAATGCACTTTATGTAGAACTAGAACCTGTGAAATAAGGGTATCCTACATATTGTCATTCTAAGCCTCAAAGTTTCCAGTGAGTGATTCTGCCTATTATGTATTATAAAGCTAAAAACAGGGGTGAAGTTCATAATAATGTCCTGACTGTTTTGTTCTGGACTTTTATTATTTCAAAATGGCAACCTGTTCCCTCAGTAGTATTGAGTAAGAGGTCAGAACTGAACAGATCCCATGATCTACCTACTACTAGTACCACCATCACCACAGTATCTCTCTGAGCTTGTCATTCATAACATTTGACGTACGAGTACGTATTTTCAGCGGGAACTCCTTGGATAAAAATAACCTTGATGCTATTATAAGCCATGTTTTACTGCCACCTGGGCTGCCGCATGGAGAGAAAGTGAACGAGAGTGTGTGTAAAAGAACAGAATGAGAAACGCGTGAGTCACTGTGTCTGTGTGTGTGTGTGTGTGTGTCATGATGAATGCCTTACCTAAATCCCCCAGAGCAGGTGGAAGGGGATCACAGTCACACAGAAGCACACTGAGCTCCAAAGCTGTCAAAGCAAACAGGTAGTAAATAGGCTTATCGTGCCTCAGACCGTATGCAGTGTCAGGCGCAGACCTCAAAGTGCAAAGAAAGGAATCTTAAAAAAGCGCCGTCTTTTACTGTAACCGCTGCGTCAGATGTTTGCAAATCGTCAGAAATGTGCCGTTGGTATTTTCGGCACAGGACGATCAATGTCTTTTGCTATGAGTAGTCAAACTGCCAGCTACATAGTCCGATTTGTAAGTAAAATATATTCCAGCACTGCATAGGATATTAACACTGGTTTTCAAAGAAATTAGCCTACCTTGATTGGTAGTAATTTCTCAAGTAGCCTACCTTGTGTGGAGTCAACATGAAATAAACATCTAAACCCTGTTTACATTCTTAATGCATTGCCTGCTTTTATTGTGTTATTGTATTAGTGCTGATGTCACGGGCGAACATAAAGGATGCATACTGTACTTCCCTACTATAGCCTGTACCTAGTAGCTAGGCTTGGATTAGTACCCCCAGGGGCCCCTGGGCACTGAAGCTCATGGGCCCCCCTCCCCTACCTGACGACCACACCCTCCAAAAAGAACACACAAACACACACACACACACACACACACACACAATACTAAGGCCCACCAGGTGTGGGATTTGACATGCCAAATCACTATTGGTCAAAAGCTGAATGACTATCACAAGACAATGATACTTTTTTTCCCCTGAAAAGTAGGGCTGCACGATTTGGGGGAAATGTCATTGTCGATTATTGAGGTCAATATTGCGATTGCGATATATTAAACAAATGGTTTTATGAGTCAACTTGCTTGGTTCTCAAGAAAAATACACACACAGATTAGTGATAATGCTGAAATGTGTAGGCTATTTCTCAACTCAAACTAGAAACAACAACTAAATGCACTGTTTTCAAATTAAAATAATATTTTTTACAAAATTAAATATTGACATCTTTGCATTACTGCAAACTTGTTATTTGTCTCAAATAATACAATAGTAAAAAATAAATGTCATACCAGTGCCCTTACTGTCTAACAGGTAGGCCTAGGACATATACTGAAATTGAATAAAGTTATCAAACAGTCTGCACTGCATAAATTATAAATTAAATATAGACTAATCCTTATTAAAGCTAAAAAAGTTCTTTAGTCAAGAGCAGCGAGTAATTTTCTCTGTTCTTTTTGTTCTTTGATTAACTGTACTGACAGAAAGCTTTATTGGCTGCTGTCTCTTTCTGACCAGCCGCTCTAAGACTGCTCTTATGTTATGAAGATACTGGACAAAATGGACATTTTGGCATAATTGTGTGTGTTATTGTAAGTTCAAGCACGAAAGAGAACTGTATTCTGCCGTGCTGTCTGTGCACACGATACTGGCGCGTCTTTCTCTCTCTCTGTGTGTGTGTGTGTCACAGTCACACTTTTGTCTTGTCGCACATGAATGGTTTAAAAGCATTTGCATGAATAAGAGCGGGATCATATAATGTAATATAACGTTACACTTTTTAAAAAAATTCTAAATTGGATAATTATCAAGATCGAGGCCAAGCCTTCTGTATATTATTTTTATGTAGCACAAAAAAAAATCCCAAAAAGGAGGGCCCCTCTCTGCGCAAGGGACCCTGGGCACGTGCCCATGATTGCCAATATGGTAGATCCGGGCCAGCCTAGTAGGTGAAAAATTGTATGTGACAAAAGAAGTATGTCCGAATTCACAGTACTCATTAAAGATTAGGCAAAAAGTACCCGGATGACCTTCTTCTTTCAGCGAGATTCTGAAGTGTGCAATGAACACTTTACTATCCCATGAGGCCACGGGAGAGGATTTGTGAATGGGAGTGAAGCAACGTAACTGATGCTGGTAGGTCACATAATAATGGCAACATGGCGAATGTAGTATATCCAGATTACATTATACTACACGCACTCATACTAGAACATACTTTTTTAGCAGGCCTGAAGTAATTATTCAAAATGAGTGCCTAGTATGCCTAGTAGTGCCTAGAGTATGCGATTTCGGACGCAGCATAATATTTGTTACGGGTAATCTGTGTTTATGTTTTTTGTTTGGGTGGGTTTTAGTTCTGTTTCCTAGTTTTCAGTTCGTTTCTATGGTTTTTCATTAATTTGATTATCAATTTTGCACTTGTTGTTCATTTCGTTGATTGGTTTGCTTAAAGATACAATACTATTACGATATATTTTTTTTCCCTGCTAGGGGTCGCTAACCTCTTGCAATAACAAAGGCGTAGGTTGATGATGACGCAAAATTCCAATTGAATTATGGAACTTGTCGTCAAGCTTATGGATCTAATAATGCTTATGGATGAATGCATACATTGATGTTTTTATCATGACTGTGGTATGAAGCAGGGCTCGATTGCTAATGAGAGACAGATATCAGCGCACACACACGAGTCCCGCGATATAAAGGAATAAGGATTTAACTTTAAAGGGGTCATATAATGATACATGCACTTTTACAAGTTGATTGTACTGAAATGTGTGTTGGCAGTGCCTGTACACAAACATCATATAATGATAAAAATCCATCCAGTGTTTTTGTTTTAATCTCCTTATGTTTTCCCGTCTCAAATCAAGCCGTTCGACCGTGTGACGTCACATGGTCGGAAGCCCCTCCCATGATTGTTGATTGACAGCAGCGTTTCAACACAGACCCGCCCTCGCTCGTGAGCGAGCTGTCAATCATAGTCCGCGCGGACCGGCGGGGTCATTGTTGATACGCTGCAGCACTGTCTATGAGCAGAATGGCGTCTAAGCGATTGTGGTGTTCTGTTCTTGGGTGCAATAAGGAACACAGCAGTCATTTTAACCCTCTATGGACGGATTGGGCGGTACCGCCCAAAATGGCATACTTTTACAAATGTGTAATTATCTTAAAAACTATTAATGATAGAGAGGTGCGGTCTTTTTTACCTCTTCCTCAGATTCCGCTGAAAACAGTGATAACTGACCCGGCTTGTAAATATACACACTTCCTTGTTGCGCAATACCACTATGTAAAAGGCCAATGAAATCGATGTTGTTTGGCAGATTCCGCGAACAACAACCAATGGAAAAATTGCCGATGGAGAAATATTTTTCTTACCCAATCAGAGGAAGGTTACCATGACGTTTCTAGCAAATCAGAGGACTCTGTAGCCTTGCAAGGGGTGGTACTATATAGTTAGTGATATGACGCAAACAGCGTTGAATGGAGAGAAGGAGAGAGAGCGAACGGAGGCTTACGGAGCGGATTATCAGAGATGTATATGAGAAAGAGACAGAACAATTATAATATATATATATATATATATATATATATATATATATATATATATATATATATATACACATACAATTATAGCATTATTTATTGTTTTAGCACTTTTATGATGGCAAGCAGTAAACGATTTACGGTGGAACAAGCTCTGGAGAGTGACGAGGAGAAAGCATTGCTTAGAAAATTCTAAGCATTCCTAAGAAAAACGCCTAGGACTATTTGTAAATAAAGTTAAGTTTTTCATTTGTTCTTTACACATTTTATTTAACAATTACAAATTCAAAAACTGTTCACTATTGTTGTGTGATGTGTGATTTTCAGAAATAAATGAAAAAAATCTAATTTTTGTTTTTAACACATTACATGCATGCTTATGTTAGCTTAGGGTCTTCTGAATCCATAGATACCAAACACATTTGTTCCATCTCCATTACATATGGTTTACAAGGCCAAATGTAAAAATAGAGAAAACGGACCAAAAAGGGCTTGGTCCCCAGAGGGTTAATGTTCCTAAATCCGAACCGCTGAAGACTCAGTGGCTGAGTTTTGTTTTCGAAGGGAATATTCCCCACGAGCAACGTCAATGCTTTCATGTTTGCGCAAATCATTTCTCACCAGACTGCTTTATAAAGGAGGGTCAGTATAAAGCTGGTTTTGCTAAGAAGCTGCTCCTGAATAAAGGATCGGTACCAACTATTCGTGTTCCTGCTGAACCTCCAGAAAAACTGAAGTGAGTGTAACGTTTTATTAACCTATATATTAATATTTATATTAATCTTTGCAAATCGCTTGCACACTTCACGATGAATGCACCTAAGGTTTACACTCTGGATGCATTATTATGGCATGTTTTCTATGTACGACGTTCTCAATATAATTCATAATCCCACGTTTATAATGAACAACGCGTTATGGTTATTGTGTTACAAACGGTGTACACAGAACAGAGGGGCGGAGTGAGCAAAGCTCATTATCATTTAAAGTCATATGCACTGAAACGGCGTGCTGAAAACAGAGCTGTTTTTGACCAGGTAAAATAAGTGTTTTCTT